TAATTTTTGAGTATTTATACAAGGGAACTGGGTGGTGCAATACACAGTACACTGTCTTTAACTTATAAATTAACTAGATCAGAGTTGAGAGCAAATTCTGTTGAGCATATTACCACCACTTCTTCACGTCTGAATGAGAAAGAAAAGCCCCAGGTTGCTAGCATTCAGAGAGTTTCCAGAAATCAGGCATTTGCTCAGCTCCAGGTCGGGGATGGCCTCCATGGTGTCAGCACTAACAATTTCATTGAAATGCACACTGAGACACAGGAACAGCAGGCAGGTTTGTTAGAGGCACTCAGGAAACTGACTCAAAAGTTGGAGGAGTGCATCAACAGTATCTGCACTGTGCTGCCTCTGGCACACTGACATTTGATTGCCTCTGTTGACAGCTTGATGGCTGCCATGGAGGCCCTGGTCTGTACACTCAGTGTCTGCCAGATAGAAGCACAGACCTGCACTCCATTCCTCTAGCCATAGGTGCTCAGCACTGATGCAAGGTAACAGGGAGGTGAGGGACCTTGACCTCATTACAGGTGCCCTTCCTAACTAGTAGGCTCCCAGCAAGAGGAGGAATACATAAAGCAACCCAGAGGTCTCCCCTCAGTACACTCCAGAGTTGCAGACCCTCCACCTCCACCCTGCCTGCAATGGGAGATCCCTTTGAGGATTGATAACCTACATCTGGCCAGGACACTCTCTGCATATCTGGACCCCTCTAGGCACAATGGGTCCCGGAGTCACAGGTCCAAAGCTCCAAGACCAACGGGTTTTACTACAGGGCAGGTTCCCTCCACCGCAGCTGCAAACCCAGGACTGCACCTAGATGTGGTGGAAGGCAAAGGAAAAAGCCAACCATCTGAGGGCGTATAGGTGGCAGGGGTGAAACTTCAATGTAAATGCATGATCACATATATACATATTGACTTTCCATCAGCATCAGCATCAAACTATCATTAAAGATTCAACTACTAGGATAAAGGTTGAGAGGTTAGCCATGTTGAGTGCCACATAATGTTCTAACCCTGTCCGAATAATACCTAGCCATCCATACAAGCATGCAACTTTGTCAGATTGAATAAAGGAGCATCAGATGTTGTGAGACTTCCATTAGTTTTTAACCTTAACTTTTAATAAACCAATAGGAAAAGTATAAAAAGATCAAAAGGCCAAGCTGCACTTGCAGTTGGGCTTACACAGGGACTGCTGGCCTATGCGGCATCAAAACATTTGCAAATACTGAAAGATCACTTCATGATTTCAGGTCCATTGAATTTTGTTACGCAGAAGTCCTGCCAGGGTTTCTTCTGCCAACACCACTGTGCTCTAGGATGCTGAAAGTGCTGTTTCTTCTAAATAACATCCTCATTGTCTTACTGTACCATACTATGTCTCTTGGGAATCCTCATCATGCATCACATAGCCTTCGTGCATCCTCCACTTTTCTGGTACAGAGAATTAAGCAGGGACCTCTGCCTGCACAGTACCTCAGCAAACCCCTATAAATTACATGAATGAAAACCTGACCTGAGGGAGCTACCATATGGGCCTCCTTTATCCAACTGGAATAAGGTGTTGTATTGCGTATAGAGTAGACATCACTTATATTCACTAACTGCTACCTCTAAAGAGTGCCACTGCCTCTCTCTCATCTGCCAGACATTGCATTAAAGATGAGTGTGGCTCTTTTTCATCTTCGCCACAACATGAGGGCACCTATGTCTGGAATTCTGCATTAGGAGGCTGCTCCACATTCCCTGGAAGTTGCAGCTAGTCCTGAGCTCCCAGATGCATTTGTTTCTCATCCAATCATATGAAGCAGCTACAGATACAACCACACTTCTGTGTCTGGATCCATTGGGCATTGTTCCAATAAGTCTATGTGGACAATATCAAAAGCAAAGCAGTTCCTCTATAATATGATCATTCAGGAGTCATGGCACACACAAAGAACATTTGAACAGTGACCTCAAAACACTATGACATGGAGGTCTCTAACAAGGAGGGCAAAGTGATGCCTCTACATGGACCTTGCACACTGTTGACCTGATCCAGGCATATGCTGCTCAAGTCTTTGTCTATACGATAGAAGATAGTATGTGTGGTAGCAATAATGAGAACATCTCCCTTGACCACAACCCTAAAATTCATAAGAAAGGCAACAATGCTTATAGGACAATGGTGTGGACCTTTCATTGTCTAAATGGTGAAATGAGCAACTTCTGCAGGCTGTGACGTTTTGGAAGGTGATTGCAGCTTTTGCAATTAAGGTGAATCTTCACAACTTGCCTTTATACCTCTGACCAAAGTGCATTACCTCACACATTCCCACATTTTATTCCATCTGCCACTTCTTTGCCCACTCTTCTAGCCTATCCAAGTCCTTCTGCAGCCTCTTCGCTTCCTCAACACTACTGTCCCTCCACTATCTTGGTGTCACTTGAAAACTAAACAACAATGCTCTCACTTCCTTTGTCCAGATTGTTAAGGTATAATGTGAACAGTTGTGGTCTCAACATGGACCCCTGCAGAACCCCATTAGTCACTAGCTATCCTGAAAATGATGCCTTTATCCCCACTCTGCTGTCTGCCAGTCAGCCAATCATCTGTCCATCTAGGTACCTTATCCGTAACACCATGGGTTCTTATCTTATTTAGCAGCTTCCTGTGTGGCACTTGTCTAAGGCCTTCTATAAAGTCAAGTAGATCACATCCACCAATCTCCTTAGTTTAACTTGCTTGTTACCTCCTCAAAGAATTCGAATAGATTTGACAGACATGATTTCCCTTGACGAAACCATACTGACCCAACCTTATTTTATAATGCACCTCTAAGTACTCCACATTCTCATCCTTAATAATGGACTCTAAGATCTTGCCAATGACTGAAGTCAGGCTAAACAGTCTATAGTTTCCTATATTCTGCCTCCTCCCCTTCTTAAACAGTGGTGTTACATTAGCCATTTTCTATCCTCTGGGACCCTCCTAACTCTAGTAATTCCTGTAAGAAATCTGGCCTCAGCGTGGACCCAGCAAGGCATCCTTTCAGCCTGGCATGGTGGTCTTCCAGCCTGGCGTGGCAGTCTCCTGGCTTAGTGTAGCAGTCTTTCAGCCTGGCATGGTGGTTTCTCAGCCAAGCATGGGATCTCGGCATGGCATAGCATCTTCTCGGCCTGGTGTGGCAATCACCCTGACCAGCACAGTGGTCTTTTGGCACAACGTACTGTTTTCCAGCCTGGCCACTTGTAAACTTTTCATTGTACTCATTTGAGTATATGTGACAACAAAGCTAATTCAATTCAATTCAAGATCACCACCAACGCCTGCACAATCTTCTCACCTATCTCTTTAAGACTCTGAGCTGTAGTCCATCTGGTTTGGGTCATATATCCACCTTCAGACCTTTCGGTTTCCCCAGCTTAGTGTTGGCCATCACACTTACTTCTGCCCTCTGACTCTCTTGAGGTTCTGGTATGCTGCTGGTGTTTTTCGCTGTCAAGACTGATGCAAAATATCTATTCAGTTTCTCTGCCATTTCTTTGTTCCCCATTACTACTTCCCTAACCTAATTTTTCCAATGTCCACTGTCCATTCTTGCCTCTCTCTTACCTTTTATATATCTAAATATATCCTGCAATCTTCTTTTACATTACTAGCTAGCTTAGCCTCATATTTCACTCTATTATCCTCTTCTGGTTTTTATAGGCTTCCCAATCCTCTGGCTTCCCACTATTTTTCACCACATTGCATCTTTTTCTTTTGCTTTTATGTTGTCCCTGACTTCCCTTGTCAGCCATGGTTGCCTTGTCCTCCCCTTAGTATGTTTCCTCTTCCTTGGGATGAATTTTTGCTGTGCTTGCTGAATTACTCCCTGAAATTCCTGCTATTGCTGCTCCACCATCTTCCCTGCTAAGCTCCCCTTTCAGCCAAATCTGGCCAGCTCCTCCCTCATGTCTTTGTAGTTACCTTGACTCAATTGCAATCCTACTACATCTGGTTCTCGGCACATCAGATGTACTGCAAGGCTATAAGTTCTGAACGAGGTGGCAAAGTACCAAAAAGTAAGGTAAGGTAAGTTAAGGCAAGGCAAGGCACGGCAAGGCAGCGATGCAGTGAGCATCCAAGTAGGACAAAGTGAGTGAGCACTGAAAGAACCAGCTAGGAGCGCTGAGATGCACCCAGCTCTAATCCATTAGATAGGTGCCTGTTCCTTTGCTCAAAGTGGCCTGTCAGGAGCATTGCCATGTCAGTGTGCTCCAAAGTGTAGTACTAGAGTGGATAATTGTATCCTAATTGGTGGTGGAGATGTGCCATGATGATCTAGTGAGGCTGGTGCATATCTGATACCAACCTCCATGGATGAAAGATGCAAGCAGTTGCATCTTGTGGACCGTGCCTTGAGATGTTGGAGACTGCTAGCTAAGGAGGAGATTCAGAGGAGCAGTGAGCTGGAGCTGTCAGGTTTTCACTCTGACTTTCATGCTGAGAATTGTCATTGTCTAATTTCTTGCTGCTGCATGGCAGATAACCAAACAGCATAGAAATGAGGTGAGATTGCTATTCAAATGTTGTGTGAAAAATTGGACTTTTTCTTCTTGACATCAAGAATCTCATTTTTTGATCTTGCTATAATTTCCCAACCGGCTCACCATTACCCATGTCGTTCACGGGTTGGGAGAATTCAGCCTTTCTTGTTTACTATCACATCCCTTTCCAGAGCAAGCATTCACTGAAAAAAACGTTAATCTTGACGTTACAATGTACGGAATCTTTTAATGATTTTCGTTATATAAAAGATGCACGTGTGATGAGTTTCCTAACAGTGAAAGAGACACAAAAAGATTAGGGAACTTATAAAAGAAACCTTATGTGTTATTCCAATATGAAGCTCTGTTGGTTACAGATCCTTGTCTCTGAATAACACTTGGTCAAGTAGACTGTTCAGTGAGCACGAATGGATTATGCCACTTTTTAACAAGATGTATTATATTTTCATTGCACAGACTGGATATGGAGTTAAAGAAAAGTTCTTCAAAAGACTGCCTGATTTAATTGCTTACTTTAAAAAACCTGGCAAAGGTCTAGTGATTCAGTTAAATTGTCCTCTGGCAAAAAACAAAACTAAACAGGAAGATGAAGACAATGAATATGAAGGTATGTGGGATCTTCCTGCTTTTCAATTTCTGTTTTTTTAATACAGTTTTTGTAGAAGCTATTAATCTGATGGCTAAAATAAGTGAATAAGTTAGAAATAGTTTAGAATTAATCCACATCCATTACCACAGATTCAGATAGAATGTTAAATTTGTGCAGACTACTAATTTAAATAAGGGAGTGTAGACTGGATTTGGCTGCACAATTTAGTAAGGGATCTAGTTTAGATGTAGTTAGCCTGCCAGACTATACCTCTTAAAAGTGAAGGAGCATTCTGGTTACAGCTGTACTAGAAGTGACTGGAAGGCGTTCTGGCCAGGAAGAAAGCAGACTAATAATACATCAGGACAGAAAGTATGCTTTAAAGATGCCTAGTGCATCAATAGAGGCTTTACTGCAGGAGGTGATCAGGGGGAGAAGATTGTCTCCATATAAGGTATCAGAAGGCCCTCCAAACAGATACTGTGAGGCAATGGGAGCAGAAAGCTGCTGTGTCAAAGTCAGCATTGAAGCCTCAAGGTCAGCAATGTAGCCTCAGGGTTTGGATTCAGTTCTGTAAGAATTGCAATGATCTCACATGAGTGGTCAGGGAATGTATTTTCACTTATATATTTTTTTACAAACCACTTGGTTCACATGCTCATAACCATTTCACTCACCTACCCAGAATTTCCATCAACCATAACCTAAATCACACTTAGAGTTTCACCATATCTTCAACACTCAAGCTGCAAGCTTTGCACAACATTTCACACCTGCATATGTATTCAGCAATGACAAGCACTTTGCATAACACACACTGACACAGCTACCTCTCTCATGACGTTTGGTAGCAGCTCTGAAACAACAGTGGACTGACAGACTGCATGTCCTCAATCCAATGGTGAAGCTGGTACTGGCCATCATGGAAACTGACATAGGCTAGCAGCAGGGATGGAAAGATTGATGATGACAGTATGTTTCAACTTAATCCACTTCATACTCAACTTCTAATTTACAAACTGACGAAGGTTCGAGCATACACCAACTCCCAATCCCCTAACCCCCAACATAAGCTTACCCTTGTGCCTTTCTCCTTTCAGATTTCCAACAATTGTCACCTGGTGATGTTTGGATCAAGGGACCAATAACAATGAAACACCGTCACACGATCTCACACTCACAATCACCAGTTTGGATATAAACATTGCACGTACTTTAGACACCTGCAGAGTTTGGAGTCTGCATGGAAGTAGCACCTTCATGAGAACAGTTATGGATTTGATCATGATGCAATATTTGGTGGCCGATGTCACAGCTTCCGCTGCTGTACGTCATTTAGTCATGCAGTGAAAGCTCAGACTGAGATCATGAGATACATGCTCATTGCCATCCAAGCCCAGTTTGAGTCATGCAAGCTCATGAACTGCTGACATCACAGCTACCGATGCCAGTACTCAAAGGAGCATATTCAAAGAGTCTTATAGCAGCTCAGCAATCTATCCTCCAGTAGATTACAAGGACGGCTGTGATGTCACCTCATTTAGTGGCTATGTGGTGTCTGAGCTGCTGCCCTTTCTGAGGAAAACGGCATTTATCCTCTCACATCCAAGAGCTTGACAAGACATTGCTCTTGTCTGTCCACTAGAAAGCCCAGACTGTTGCCAGCCTATGATGAAATATTGCAGTTTGAAGCCAGGTTTTCTAATGACAGAACAGAGGCAGGCCATGGGCTGTCTCTCCCATTGAAAGACAGTAACTTTGGTTCTGATGCTACATTAAGCCTTTACCTATCTGCCTGCTCAGATCAATATTAAGGGTTCCCCCATCATCTGCTTGCTGTATAAGCAATAATAAGCACTTTGCCCCATAGTGACAGGCTTGTGCAGGATACATCAGAAGGTTCTAGGCCCGAAACGTCAGCTTTCCTGCTCCTCTGATGCTACTTGGCCTGCTGTGTTCATTCAGCTCTACACCTTGTTATCTCAGTTCCTCCAGAGTGCTCCAGGCTACTGATTTATTAGTTATGCATCTAGCTGGTCTGTTGAATTGTGTGGTGGCAGAGATTTCATTCTGTGTCTGTTGAACATGTGTCTGGGTTGCCTTTCAGAGTTATACATCAGGTAGTTAGCATGGTTAACATGGAAGGAATCCTTTCAGCCCATTGAATCCATGATGGCTCTCTGCAAGGGCGATTCGTCTAGTCTTACTGTCTTGTCCTTTCTTTGTTTTAACTTCAGGTGCTTATACAATTCATTTTGGAATGCACAATCTGTCTTTACCACCCAATTAGGCAGTGCATTCCAGTTTTTAACCTCTAACTGCATTTAGAAATGTTTAGCCATGTCACTTTCAGTCCTTTTGTCAATCACCTTAAATCTGTGTCCCTTGATACTTTATTTCTATTTGCTCTGGCTAGACCCTTGTGATTTTGAAAACCTCTATCAAATCTCCTCAATTCTCTTATCTCAGGAAATCTTCAGTCAACCAATTTGAAAAGCAAATGAACTGTTAGCCTTTATTACAAGAGTGTGGAGAATTAAAGTTAGGAAGTCTTGCTACCACTGTACAGGCATTAGGCAGCTTGGCCACATCTACAATGCTGTGTACAGTGTCCAATCATTTAAGCAGGGGTATACTTGCATAGGAAACAGTTCAAAGTAGATTCATTAAGTTGGCTCCTGGGATGAAGTTGCCCTGTGAGAAATGTTTGATCAGGTCAAATCTACATTCAGTGGAGGTTAGAAGAATTACAGGCGTTCTTATTAAAGCTGCTAAGAATCTGAAGAGGCTTTTCAAGTTAGAAATTCAGAAGATGTTTCCCTTATGGGGGAGCAATGACTAGGAGACTTTGACCTGAATTTTCGCAGCCACTGAACTGCGCAATAGTGAGTCATTTGGAAAATATGATGAAATTAGAAAAATTAGACCCTCAATGTCGAGAACTTTATCCAATCAAAGTTTGAACAGTGAGATGACATTCTCACTAGTGACTGGCAGTCCAGAATGAGTATAGCAGTGCAGAGATCGTGCAAGTGGATAAGAAGTGAGCTGTGAGGGTTCATAGAGGCTGCATGTCAGATGCCAATGTCTGTGGATGTGGGTGTGTGCCTGGTTAGTACCCAGAGAGTGCCCTGAGATGTTGGTTCCCAGTTTCCAACATGGAGAGCCTTTGGAGCAAGCTGTGAGCTAAATCTGCCAGGTGTTCATTCCGGTTTCTTTATCATGTTTTCCTGATGTCAAGATTATTTGGTGAGTTAGGTAAAATGAGTGGCTGAATATTAATGAGGTGGGTGGTGGCATTAACAAGAGGTTTAACCACTGCTTAGTGAGAATCTCACCATGCCACTTGTCAAAGGCATAAAATATGGCGTGAGTTATTCCCAATCGCGAGATGGGCCTCGCTGCACTTGTCTCCTGATTCTGCCATACATCTCACGATAGCCCACGTTGCTCAGACCCCTATAAAATTCTGCCTAACAGGTATCCTCAAATGTTAGTAAGGGGGATCTTTGCTGGGTCAAAGGGTTCTTTATACAAACATATGAATAAGAAGCAAAAGCAGGACATTCAGCCCTTCGAGCCTGCACTGTCATTCAATAAGAAAATGGCTGATTTGATGTTAACCTGAACTCTACATTTCTTTAAATCCATGATAATTTTTCATTCCCTTGGTAATCAAGAATCTACCTTCCTCTGTCTTGAAAATATTCAAAGATTGTACATTGACTGCCAATAAGCTTACAACCCTCTGTGATGAAAAATGTTTCCTCATCTGTGAATTAAATGGGCATCTCTTATTTTTATGACCCCTACTTATAGATTCTTACATATGAGAAAACATTCTTTCAACATCCACTCTTCTGTCCCTTTGGGATTTTATATGTTTCAATTAAGTCACCACTGATTTTTCTATACTCCAGAGGATACAGGCCTAGCTTGTCTAGCCTTTCCTTATAAGACAATGTACTCATGCCAGGTAGAGCAAACTTTGTTTCAACAGGCACCCTATCAACCAGCACTTTTGATAAACCGGCAAAAACTATTTATCTCAAATACCGTGATGTCTGAGTATTTATGCTGTAAATGAAGTATAACAGTGATGTGTATACCCCTGCATTACATTTCCATTATTTACTATGTATTTTTACGTTGATCTTAAGAGGTGTGTCGACAGTTTTACATAGATTCTTTCAGGGATGTTGACGTTTCGAAGCTTCGCTTGATCACAGTTTACTGCGGTTATGCACATCTCTTGATTATCTGGGATATTTGAGTAACCGGCATGCTCCTGCTGCCATAGATGCTGGTTAATAAAACGTTTGCTGTATTAGTCTAGAAAACCTTCTCTGAACTGCTTCCAATGCATTAACATCCTTCCGTAAATACTGTACACACCTATCCAGATGTGGTCTCACCAATGCCCTGTGTAACTGAAACATAACCTCCCTAATCTTGCATTCAGTTACCCTCGCAATAAAACATAATATTCTATTAGCTTCCCTGATCATTTGCTGTATGTATATACTGACCTTCTGAGATTCATACACTAGGATTCACAGATCTCTCTGCATCTCAGAATTCTGCAATGTCTCACCATTTAGATAATATGCTTCTTTTTTATTCTTTCCGCAAAAATGGACAATTTCACAATTTCTGAAATTGTACTCCATTTGCCAGATCTTTGCCCTATCACCTAACCTATCTATATCCCTTTTTAGGCTCCTTATGTGCTCTTCACAATGCACTTTCCAACCGATCTTTGTTTCCAGTGCCTTGGTAGATGCCAAGTAGTCTGTCTGATTTCATTCCTTCTATTAGGCTTTGTGTAGTTAGATATTACTGAGTGACCTGCTGGACCATTCCTAAGGCATTTTAGAGTCAACATCATTGCTGTGGATCTGGAGTCCTAAGTAGGCAAGACCAGGTGAAGACATTAATAAACCAGGTGAATGTTTTTGACAACTGACAATGGTTTCATGATCACAGTAGACCAGGTTTTAATTCCAGATTGTTAATCAAATTCAAATTTCACCATCTCCAATGATGGGATTTGAACTTAGATTCCCAGAGCATTAGCTTAGGTCTCTTGATTACCAATGCAGTGCAGTAACAATCCCACATGCTACCAGCAACCCTACATAGTTAATGATTTCTGAACACTATCAGTAAGAAATGTCTACCTTTGCTGCAGAATTCCTATTTTATGAAATCAGTTGTGTAAGGTTGCATGTGCAAAAAAAATTGAAAGATTAGTCGGCATCTGATACATTCTTACATTTTACATGAGTGAAAGAAATGTGAGGTATTGACTGCTCAATGACAGAAGTAATACTGGGCACATTCTCAGGTAAGAGGTTGGCTACTTGCAGCTGCAAAGCTTGCCTCCAGTTTGTAACATGGCCTCAATTCAATAATATATTATTTATATGAAATTTTTTTAAAATGTAAGGTAAAAGAGAGACTATAATCAGGTGGAAGAGTTTACAGATGGTTTGTAGCAATTTAGGCCATTGTAGTTTAATCAAGCCTAGGTATTATTAGATATTTTGCTTTCGGCCACGGCCAAGCATTTCATGCTACCATTTTCTTTCTTTTTCCAGAATGTTTTGTTTACATGACAAGTTTACATCATTAATAAGTTATTGAAGACAATATTATCAGAAATATCAATTGAGCTACTTTGAGTCATCTCCTCTCAACTATGTGGAGTAATTACCAGGCATTCACAGTAACATGTGCTTAACCCCAGTTAGAAATGGCATTGGGTTGCAGAGATCTAAAAAAATAAAGTTGGAACAAAAAACAGTTTGGCAGAAAATAGATAAAAGCAACTTTGAAATGATTTAAACATTATTTCAATACAATCTCACAATTTATTATTCACTTTTTTTTTATTTTGCAGAAATTAATGATGCTGACTATGTCGAAGTACTTGGCGAATGAAAATGTTCAAAATTGTTGAACAGAAGAACAACTTTCTTTCTTCTAAAAGTAACATAATTGTTGTAAAGTTGGGTAGAGCACTTGTGTATTGGGAGGCAGGAAGTTAGAATTTGGTGTTTGTAAAATGCTGGGGGGGGGGGAAGCATTGCATGGTCCCTTTAAAAGATGATGAGATTTTTGTAAGATTAGAAATGTAAACAAAATGTCTGTGAGCAGCTTGAAAGTTTGATAATACATAGAAAGGGTGTTTTCATTTTAGTCCTCAGAAGGGGTGTCAATCTCTGCTTTATAACAGATTCTCCACTTCTAACTTGTTTTTTTTTGAGATCTAGGACACTAGTCCCCAAGTCTATTTAAATCTGCTGGGATCTTTTGTACCCTAAATCTGTTCATATCCATTCAAATCCCATTCATGGATCTGTCCCAGCCTGTCCAAATCCTGGACCCGAGGTCTAGGGTATGATTCTCGCTTGGAGTGTGAAAGGTCCTGGGCTGATATCCTGGATGAGCCCTCAATCTGTTATAAAGTGGAGGTTTACCCCTCTCTCTGAGAACTAAAACCAAAACACCCAAACAGGAATGCCTCGCCCTATAATCTGTTCAAAAGGAGTGAACAGTGGTGTAACCTGCCTTTCAGTAACTTCTAGTAGTTAAATAAAATAAACCCCTGACACTCATTTTACAATCAACAAGCAACAATTGATTTTGTCTAACTCTAACAGTGAACAAATTAACTAAACTATTAACAAACCAAATAAATCCCTTCCAACTACTATTCCCACATAAAATAAGATTCTAATGGTATGCTGTTTCAATAAATAGAAGTCCCACTTATCTAAAATAAAATAAACAAAATAAAAATAGAATGTAGTCTTTCGAAATTAAAGCCAGATTACGTGTCGACTGGAATGCTCTGTGCCTTCTCCGTCGAATGTTCTGTCAAGAACGCTTCCTCTGTCATTTCTTCTGTCAGGAGTATTAATTAGTTGTACCATTGGTACCTTTGACATTTAGATGGTGCTTTCTCTAAGACTTACAGGAGTCTGTGAGAGCCAGCGATTCTCTGTTGAAACTGAGAGTTGTTAACTCTGGCAGATGGCAGTTAGTTCTCCCTTCCTTGTCCAACCACCTTCTTCTTTTATACCCTTGATGACATATCAATTTCTTACACTAGGATTTGACCTATGTTGTCAAAACCATCAGATTTAAATTTAATTGGTTTTTGATACCCAAATGCCTGAATAAAATTGATTGCTAAATTCAAAACTTCTTGTCTTGGCAACAAAACAAAACTGCTGGTTGACCTGCTAACTTTATGGCCTTTTGGTACAAATGGTTCAATTCAGGTGCTCTCTATGTAGTTTCAAACTTTCAAGCTGCTCACAGACATTTTCTTTATATTTCTAAACATACAAAAAGCACATCACCTTTTAAAGGGACCACACAATGCTTCCCCTCACCCAGTATTTTAAAAACACCAAATTCTAACTTCCTGCCTCTCAATCCAAAGTACTCTACCCAACTTTGCTACAATAATGTGTTGGAATTTAGAAAAAATGTGACATTTATATAGTGGCACAATTTGTGCATCATAAGAATGTAATCACTTAACCTGGACGCAATATGAATATGGCAAAAAGAACAGCTCCTTCAGCTTCTCTCCGTCCGTAGCAGCAACCTTCATTTATTATAAATGTACCTTTAAGTGTTTTTTATAGTCATGGATTTTTAAAAATTCTAAGCAACTATAATTTGCTTTAAAAATCACTCTTAATGCCCCAATTTTGAGTCAATGGCAAACTGATAACACTTACTGCTGACTTCTTAGGAATTGCCCAGGATTGCATTTCACATTTCCTGGTGTTAGTTTGATTTTGCTGCCAACGATAGGGGCATCAATACTACCAGGCAGCCAATTAAAGAACTCTCAGAAACAGGAAAATGGGATATAAAATGCATTGGTTATCCTTCAGTTTTTAATCAACTTCTAGAGAATGAATTGAAGATTGGAGTGCACACATAGGATTAAGACAGAAAGTGAAATATATTAAATGGAAATTTGAAAATGGTTTTATATTAAAGTCCTATGACAGGCTACTTAAAGAAGAAATTTGACATTTCAAAAATGTAATATTAGACTTTGAGGGCTAAAATGGTTGTTCAGCAGCAACTTAACAGCATTACTCCTGCAAAATAAAAAAACCCTTGGAAAGTGCTGGCCTTTTGGGTTGAAAAGGTCTTCAGAAATTATTCTATATTTAATTTAGTGATACTGCTGGAAAATGTGTAGGGAAAGTTCCTACTATTTTCATTTGGGTTTCTGCAAAAATAAGGAAAGAAAATAAGGGTTCTAGGTTATGCTCCTGGTAGTTATCATAAACCAATTAAAGTCATAGTTGTTAATTGTTAATAGAAATCCTACTTTAATAAGATTTTTCATCTTTAAATCTAATTTCCTCTCAACCTGTAAAGAATAATGCTGTAGAAACTCAGCAGCATCTGTGGAGAGAGAAATAAAATTATTGTTTCAAATTCAATTGGACTGCCCTTTGGAAACCCTCTCAATCTGACTGGGAACTATGCTCAATAAATCTGAGAACCAGCTTGATCTGGTTTCCACCTGTTTGTGAGTGTGTGAGACAGGGAGAAATGGAAGTCAAGTTTCCAATTAGCTCATTAGCAAAAAAAACATTTGTCACTGCATGAATATGGAGATCTTCTCAACAGTTTGAAGGAATTGTAAATTCAAAAGCTAGTTGCAAAAAACATGGCATTTCTGAATCACAGGTTTCTATAGTTCTGAACTGAAAATGTCTTGATGGAGTGGAAAGGCACTGAAAATAGGAATGGCAAATGTAAAAGTAAAATTCACCAATGTTGATAAAGCTGCTTTGCTGATTTTGTCACAAAAGAGCTCAGAAAATCAAACTTGATGGATGACAGTTGAAACATAACATTAAGATCTTGCCAAAGGTCTTAGTGAAATGCTTTGAAGAATGATACGGCTAAATGTATTCCTGTGTCAATGGAAAGTGAGATAAAGGCTTGTCAACAAAAAGAAGTATAGATATTGACCAACACTCTGGTAATGCATGGACTAAAGAAATATTTCCAGTTTTTTAGTTGAGTATCTAAGGGACTGTCTTTACAATTGTGATGAGATTTACCTTTTCTACTCTGTTATTCCTGATCAAATTATGGATAAAAGAGAAGAAGTTTGTGGCAAAAAATGAGAATGTACATTATTACTGTTAGTTAGAAAATTGCCCTTGTCAGGTGGAAACGCTGGTGAGTGAGAAAAAAAAGAACCCACATAGGTTTAATAAGGTGGAAACTTCTCAGACCTTTTATGAAAGCAAACTACTACTTCAGAATATAAACAATTTTGGAAATAGTTACAGTCTTTTATTGCCAAGCTGAGACAATGGTACGTTCAGTGGATTTTTTTCTTTATTCTTTGATAGAATGGGTGGTCTCTGGCATTTGTTTCCCATCACTAATTCATCCTTGAATTTAGTAGGTTTTTTCGGAGGTCAGTTAAGAGTCAACTATGTTACTGTGGATCTGGAATCACAGGTAGGCCAGACAAGGAAAGTATTTCTTTCCCTGAAAGGAACAAGATGGGTTTGAACAATAATCAACAATGGTTATGTTTGCCATTAGATCAGCTTTTAATTCTAGATTTATTCATTCAATTCAAATTTTATCATAGAGATTTGAACCTATTTACCCAGGATGGTTTTGTTCTGATAAATACATATATCCCCACATGACTGCGGGCTCATTTTCAAGAATTAGTTCTAGAATTATCAGTTATGCAAGTAATATTTGGAGCGATCAAAGAAACCATAACTGATTTAATGAGCCATCTGCAGTTTCACTGTATTGGCCACGTATGCTTAAACATGTATTGTTTAATCTTTGGGCCGAACATCTAGTACTGGTAGGATCAACCTCGCATTTATATTCCATCAGCTACCATAGTGGGTTTTGAACCCCTGGCCCTAGAACATTAGCCTGATCTTTGGATTACTAGTCAAGTGACAATATCATATTTCGGTATGCCACTTGTTATTATGTGAATCAGTCGTTCACAAGGGAGAGTGCAAATTTTACCACCCACTAGCACTTGCATCATCAAGCTGCAGGACCAACCAAGGTGCCATTCATAGTCTGAAGCAATGCTTCACCTGAGCAAAGTGTGTTCCATTTTAGATGCCACTGAGGAAATGGTCATTCCACTGGTAGTGAAAAGCTATGGTGTGTTAGATGCTATGCAATTATCCACAGAGTTTGGAGTTCATGTAATGAAAGAGAGAATGCAAAATTTACAACTTTGGATTCCTATTAAAAGTAAATGTAAGATTCTTTGTAGCTAAAGCTTGAATTTCAAAAGATCAAAAGATGAAGTTTTTTTAACATGTGATATCTCGTTCACATTTTTAAAATTTCTTTAAACTTTAAAGTGTTAGACTATGTATCATCGTTTTAAGAAATTATTCAAAATTTAGCCAAATAAAATATTTTGTGTTAGACCAGCCTTGACTTGTTTCTTTTGTTTCATGCTTTAGAGAAATTCCTGTTTTATTCTAACTGGCAAGGTTGTTTCTGAATAGATCTATTGTACTTAGCACAAAGGAGAAAGTAAGGAAATATTAAATGTTTACATGTCTCAAGGAAATTCAAGTTTTCTCCAGAAAGAGTCCATTGTCCTTGGAGGAGCGATATGGATAACTCCATTTGAAAGAAGAACAGTAGTTAATGGAGTCAGTTTGGAAAATCATTGAATAGAATTGGGAACAATGATTGAAAGTGGGAAATAACATTAGTTCTCAGTTTTGCTTTAGTCAAATAAGTACACTTACAGCACAGCAGGATATGGTCCAGAAGCCGCACAAGCAAAATGTGAGAAAAATTTTGAAGTTTTATACGTTTTTAACAATGTGTGGAAGGCTAGATCGTTTACTGTACACCCGATCCTTGTCTGTAAGATACCTTGCTAAAAATTGAAATCTGAGCTTTTAGAATTATTTAGAATGACACAACATGTAAACACATGAGAAAATCATTCCCATAGACTTATAACGATTTATAACATTCTGATTGAAATAATTTTATTTGGCAATGTTAGTCTGCTTTCATCTGGTTGTTCTTAACTGATCTTCATATTGAATGAGAAGTGGATTCAATGGCCCATGTAGCACACTCACCAATCTACTTATGTTCTCATGCAATCTTGAGCACAGCACAATCAAGGTTGGCTGCATTAAAAGTAATTTTCCACATTTGTACTAATACAGGGGTCAGCCCCTAGTTAAGCCCCTAGTCCTGTTCTATGTGCCAGAGAAGTCTCTGCAATGGTGAACCAATATGACTTCTCTTTGTCCACATGTACCTTCTCCAGCAATCATTAAATAAACCACTTGAAACCATCACCAAAAGGGTCAGCATTAAAAAAACTTAGCTTAACTTGGAGTCAGAAAACATTTAAACCGGAAGCTCCTGCAGTTATCACTGCCCCTTATTGATACCCTTCATCCAAATTCACTCCCTCCCATCACCAAAAAGCTGCCATTGATGCTGTGAATGGTGCTTTCAGCTCACTGAATACATTCTAATGAAGCCAATAGACCAATTTGCCACTATTCTGCTACAGGCTTCATAGGTAGCTGCCACATGTCCTGCACCATCATTGCAAAACAATTCAGGCACAGCCCTATTTTTAGATCAAAGATTCCCAACTCTACTTTTTAAATTATGATTTTAATATTTTTCTGCTTGTATTTTTCCTGTGCTTTCCGAAATAACTCCACAGAGGCAGGTGACAGAGGCAAGTCACCCTTTATTTACATGTGGAAAGTTATTGACATTGATCCAGCTTCCTCAGAGCCGGCTCTCAGAGCGGACAGAAACTCTGATGGTTCTGTTTATATCTGTCAGACAGGGGTCCCTGATAAGGACCAGATTAACAGCCTCATTCAGACAACTCATATCCTTTGAGATCCACCTGGCTGACATTGTTACAATCACTATATCCCTCCACCTCTGAGTCCGTGGACATAGGCTGATTTATTTTTATTTGTAGCTCTTCCTGGAATGTTTTAGCACCGGATCAGGTTCCTCCAACACTGCCTCTCATTTGGGTGACATGTAATGCACAGTAGCTTGCCTGTTGAGCCTGGAAGTGTTGGTCACAGCTGGAACTACTGGTGGTGTACCTGCAAGAGAGAGACAGCTCAATGCATCCACATTTGCTACTTGGCCTTCCAAACGGTGTTCCAACTTATAATTATATGCAATTAGTATTAAAGCTCACCATTGAATTTGGCCTGAAGAATGAACGGCACTGCCCTGTCCTCTTTAAATAGACCTAACAGTAGTTTGTAGTCCATTATTATTACAAATTTATATCCGTAAAGGTATTGGTGGAACTACCTGACTCGAAATGTGACTGCCAAATCTTCCTTCCCCATCATTAGCCAAAGTTCTGGATGCATACGCTATTAGATGCTCCTCTCCATTGGGCAACTTGCAAGTTAATACTATGGGAAGGCATCGCATGTCAATACCAGATCTCGCTTGGGATCATAGTGTGCCAACAACTTAGAGGATGATAGCTGTTTCTTCTCTTCCCTGAAGGCTATGGTTTTGGCTACGCGATCATTTCCAAGGCTGACCAATTTTTAAGAGGTGATGCAAAAGTGCTAGGATGTAGACCAGGTTATGTATGAACTTTCTGCAATAATTCACCAGCCCAAGAAAGACCTAAGCTCCATTACAGACATGGAAGCTGGGCACCTTTGATTGCCCTCATTTTATTTTCTAAAGGATGCAACCTGGACTTATCAACTCTAGCCCGTCTGGGTCACTTGGCATGCTTGTAATACACATTTTTTTCCTTCTAAGGTATACGCCCACCTGGGAGAAACATCTAAGGATTATGTCCAAGTTCTCTAAATGCTTTTTATTGGGCTTCCCTGGTATTAGCATGTCATCTAGATTAATGGTGACCTGGGGTAGACCTTGTTAAATGTTCTCCATCATCTACTAAAAAATTGTACAGGCTGATGATACCCCAAATGGCTGTCTTGTATATTGGTACAAGCCCTTATGGGTATTAATTTTAGCATACTTCTGGGAATCCTCATCTAACTGCAATTGCAAGAATGCATAGTTTATGTCCAGTTTCGCTAAGGAGGGACAGTCTCCACCTGCCAGCTTTGCATATAAATCCTCTATCTGAGGTTTAGGGTATTTATCTATATGCAAAAAGTGGTTTACCATTTGTTTAAAATCTCCACAAAGGTGAACTGAGCCATCAGGCTTCATAATTGGTAAGACCAGTGCTGCCCATTCCACAAATTGGACTGGTTTGATGATTCCCTCACCTTCCAGTCTTTTGATTTCTGCCTCTATTTTTACCGATAAGGCAAAGCACTGGCTGGCCTTGCAGAATTGTGGAATTGCTTCTTGGTCAAATTCAAGATTGCCTTGGCTCCTTTGATAGTCCCTAGATCTTCCTGAAAATCATTCGGTTATTAAATTAGGACTTCACTTAGGCAGCCATTTTCTAATCAAAAAATATTGAGCCAATCTAGGCGAATCTTTCTCAACTAATTTCAGCCCATCAAGCTTGGGCCCGAGCCTTTTACTACATAAGAGTCGTACAGCACAGAAACAGACCCTTCAGTCCAACCAGTCTATGCCAAACATAATCGCAAACTAAACTAGTCCCACCTGCCTGCTCCTGGTCCATATCCTTCCAAACCCTTCCTATTCATGTATCCATCCAAATATCTTTTAAACATTGTAATTGTACCCGCATCCACCATTTCCTCAGGAATGAACCAGCTACTTCTCATTTGAGACTTATCTGTAAAGGTTCCCAGGTATAGATTCTCAGTCTAGCTGATGTCTTGCGTAAACCTAGGGGTTGGAATCCAGAGTGAATTTTGTTAAAGAATGGTTGTGCGATCACTGACACGTTTGAACCGGTATCGACCACTATTAGAACCAGGCGACCATTTAACCAAACATTTAATTTGATTGGTTCCAAATTGGATGTTACTAAGCAATTTAACTGCTCCAAACAAAATGTAGATGAATCTTCCAGCGTGTGCATTCTCCTGAGTACTGGCCTATGAGTTCGCTTACTCAATTTAAGTCAAGTAGGACTCTTCTATTGTCTCAAATCCGTACACTGGCAGCAACTCCAATAGCTTGCTGGCCTGAATGCTGAAGAAAGTTTTAAACGCTTAGGTTCATTTTGGGGTTTTGCTGTGGGCTGAACTCTGTTCAGGATACGTCCTGAGTGAGGCTGTGCAATTGTCTTTATTCAAGTGGTCTTCCCCAAGATCAGTCAGATTGGTGAGGATGTTCATCTCCATTAGAATACCGTGCAATTCGCATGCTCCAGTTGTCATACGTTCCAATGATAAAGCCAGTTATAGCGCCTATGTGAAGTCCAGTTGGGCTTCAGCTAGTAGTCACTTTTGCATGGTTACATCATTAATCCCACATACAAATGGTCTCTAAGCATCTCATTAAGGGTTAAACCAAAGTCACATGCCTCTACCAGGCATCTTAACCTAGTCAAAAATCCCCACACAGATTCCCCTGGTTCTTGAATTATGAATACTGAAGAGCTCTTGTGGTGTAGTACCAATGTCCCTATCTCTGAGCCTTGAGGCCCAAGTTCAAGTCCCACCTGCTCCAGAAGTGTGTAATAACATCTCTGAACAGGTTTATTTGAAAGTTTCTAGCCTTGAATACAGTTAAACCATCATGCTGAACATAAGTGTCCCAGCACACTGTTCAGCTGCATCCTGCACTCAGGTAAATGGAGGCAGCATGAACTTTGTATGCTGCCTGTCTCAATAGGACCAGGTGTCGCATCATGCCTCACTGTTTAACAAACTAGCTTGGATGAATGCATAAAATCGCAACAAGGCCACCAAAATGAACAAATTACTTGCCATTCAGGACTTAAACATTCACACCAAGTTTCTTTCAATAACAGAGAAAAAGTACTCTTTGTTGCACTTAACTTTGAACAGTATAAAGCGTGGATTTCTAATTTATGAAATTTAAACTATGCCCCTTCAAAACACCAAATGAACACTTACTTACATTCTTCCATTTGTTTTAGGAAACAAAGGAAAATGTCAGAAGCAAAGACTGACACACCTACAGTGGGGATTATTCTTTGCATTATGGGTCTCACTGCAACAGAGACATGAGAATCAAACATTGCTGAGATAGTTCAGGATGATGGTATGTTCTCACCTTATGTCACTTCAACTTCCATAAAACAGTCATGATACAATCTGGCTTGAAATCCAAGCTGCATATGATGTTGACCCCAAATCTGTTGCTTTCAGAGCCAGCCTCTGGCTCATCCCAACACTCCAGTCCTCATTCTGTTTTCAGATACCAAAGGCACGTTGCCTGCCCAGTCAAAGCAATTCCAGAGCAATCACACAGAATAACCATCACTGGATCTGAAACTTGCAACCACCAAAGCAGGTACTGGTACTTTGTGAACTTGGGATAGTAGATAATTTTTTAGGATCAGCAAGTAGTGAGTCACCAGACAGTAGGAAGGACAGCGTGGAAGGATTACTCGTGCTAAGTGAATAGATGAATGGTCTGGCCTAATTCTCACTCCTTGCACTGACCTTGTTAATGGCTTGAGGGACTGAGTCCCTAATCCAGTTTCTAATCTGTATAAAAACCGAAAGAACGGCAGATGCTGTAAATCAGGAACAAAAACAGAAGTTGCTGGAAAAACTCAGCAGGTCTGGCGGCATCCGTGAAAAAAAAATCAAGAGTTAAAAAATGTGTCGGGTCTGGTGACCCTTCTAATCTGTATGTAAGTTTGTATTAGTGATGCACCAATTCACTGAAAGGTTTCCAAACCAGAATCATCTCATGTGAGCATTGGATGCTTGTCTCTATATAGTCTAGTTGAGGTGGCAAAGTGGCGGACAGCTGCAGAGATTTGATCTAGTCAGGCAGCTGAGCACTTCCTCAGCTGAGTTATTAACACATGAATTCAGTGGACCAGTGGTATTCAAGGTTCTACGGCATGCATCAACCCAACCTGATGCTGAGCTGACTCTTGACTTATCTAGCTGTGTAGTGGTACTAACTGCACAAGCTTGCTTTGTAGCACAGTACACTGCATGGACCAGAGCAAGAATATCAAATGCAAGGCCTGCACTATTTATAGATTTCAGCACTTTATGTACTGCACACAGTACAGTCAGAGTCATACAGCATGGAAACAGACCCTTCGGTCCAACCAGTCCATGCCAAACATAATTCCAAACTAAACTAGTCCCATCTGCCTGCTCCTGGCCCATATCCCTCCAAATCTTTCCTATTCATGCACCTATCCAAATGTCTTTCAAACACTAATTGTACCCACATCCATCACTTCCTCAGGAAGTTCATTCCACACACGAACTACTCTTTGTTTAAAAATACTTGTCCATCATATCTTTTTCAAAGCTCTCTCCTCTCACCTTAAAAACGTGCCCCCTAGTCTTGAAATCCCCCAATCTTGGCAAAAGACAACTACGATTAACTCTATCTATATCCCTCATTATTATTTTATAATCTTTTATCAGGTCGCCTCTCAACCTCCTACACTCCAGTGACAGAAGTCATAGGCTTTCCTTACAACTCAAACCTTCCGTACCCAGTAACATCCTGGCAAATCTCTTCTGAACCCTCTCCAGATTGATAATATCCTTCCTATAGCTGGGCGACCAGAACTGGACATAGAATTCCAGAAGAGGCCTCACCGATCTGTACAACCTCAACATGACTTCCTAACTCCTGTACTGAAAGGACTGAGCAATGAAAGCAATGAAGGCAAGCATGCTAAATGCCTTTTTAACCATCCTGTCTATATTTGACGTAATCTCCAAACAATTATGTACCCGCACCCCTAAGTTCCTCTGTTCTACAACACTAGCCAAGGCCCTACCATTAATTGTATAAGCCCTACCTTTGTTTGTTGTACTAAATCCCAATATATCACATTTATCCAGATTGAACTCCATCTGCCATTTTTTCAATCAATTGACCCATTTGATCAAGATCCCTTTGTAATCTGAGAAAATCTTCTTCATTGTCTACTGTACCACCAATTTTGGTGTCGTTCTCACACTTACTAACCATGCCTTCCATGTTCTCATCAAAATAATTTATA